CCCAGTACAAACAGTTTGATAAGAAGTGTGAGAATACTTACAAGGGGAGATAGATTCAATGTTTGTAATGGCTCAGCCATTCCCAGTCCTTATTCAAACCGGAGTTGATTGTGTCTAGTTTGTGTCTAGTTTGCATATCACAATCAACTCCGGTTTGAATAAGGACTGGGAATGGCTAAGCCATTACAAACATTGAATCTATCTCCCCTTGTAAGTATTCTCACACTTCTTAACTGTCTGTACTGGGCTAGCATGATTATCACTTCAAAAGTTTGTTTTCTCTTAATTAATTGGCCTCTCAGAGTTGGTAAGACAACTCCCACCTGTTTATGCTCTCTGTATGTGTGTATATATATATCTCCTCAATATATGTTCCATTCTATATGCATCCGAAGAAGTGGGCTGTAGTCCGCAAAAGCTTATGCTCTAATAAATTTGTTAGTCTCTAAGGTGCCACAAGTACTCCTGTTCTTCTTTTTGCGGATACAGACTAACACGGCTGCTACTCTGAAACCAGTTTTTCAAAGGGCATTATTCAAAACCATCCACCCTGATACAATCTAAAACCACTGTCCTTTTATCTGGAATAAAATCAAATCTAAGGACAAAAACAAACAAAATAAGACATATTTCATTGTGCTCTGAAGCTTGTTAAGATTCAGACTTATATAGTACTGTATATGTCTGTAAGGGTTACTTTTCTTTTAAGCACCAGGTAATGGCCACTGCTGGAGACAGGGTATTCAGGTACTAATGAACCATTTACAGTATCTGGTAGGGAATATCCCATGATACATTTCCAAATGCTGCATGGATGCAGTTTTTTTGACATTCCCAAATTGTATTTTATATCTGAAAAAGCCACTCATAATGGGGAAAACCAACAGTTTTGAATACAACAAATACCACACAGTGGGACTAATTCATCCCTAGTGTACTTCTGCTGGAGTTACAGTAGGAAGGAATCAGATTTTATATATGCTGCAGGGTACAACAGTGGTTCCCAATCCTGTAAATTGGAGTCCCCTTTGTAATGATTAATGGACTGTCCCTTTTCACTATGTCCACTGCAGAAATGTCACTGTCTCTATTTTTCTGTGCATTCTCTCTGTATCTTTTCCAATTGCTACTCTCCACCTCCTAACTCACTCAAGAGGAGGCTGGGGCAATGTGGCATAAACATATGATTTTGTGGAAGCATTACAAAGAAAAAAAAACTTGGGCCAACAAATTGTTTCTGGATCCTATAATCCCCCACACATGAACTACTCCCACCAACTAGTGCATTAATGACTGCCACAGGAGAACAGAGAGAAGGAAAAGTGGCTATTAGAAACATTCATAGAGTGCCATCATTCTGTCTGGCACTTCCTAAGAGATTACTAAAACAGACAAGGTTCCTGCCCAAAATGATGTACAGGCCTACCCCAGAGGTCTGATTCTCCACGGCCTTACATGGGCACTCGAATCTGTACAACGTGTGCCAGCTGATGGTATTTTACACACAGATTACACAGGTGTAAGTAAATAGACCAGCGGCAAAACGGTGGAGAATTAGGTCCAGAGACTCGGCCATGGCCGAGGGAGCAGTATGTTCGCAATGGGATGATTGGGAGTGAAAAGGAGAACAGTACAAGCCCAATGAGTTTGCCCAATGCTTCCCTGTTCTGTCTTGCACTGCGCCAGGGGAGCCGGTCCCCCAGGAGCAGAACAAGACAAGGTAGGCGCGTGGCTTCCCCAAGAAACACGCTGCGCTGCTAACCACTCCCAGCGCAGCAGGGCTGGGGCTTGGGGCAAACAGAGCGGAAACGCCGAGCGGGTAGCGGCGGGAGAGCTCAGCCAGGAGAGAGGCGCTGTCCCTGCCGCGGCGGACAGCAGCAGCCAGGAAGGAGAGGCGCGATGGCTTTGCAAACGCAGCGTCAGAGCCGGCCGGCCCGCTGCGCACGTTACCTCCACCCACTCGGCCTCGGAGCCCGGCTCGGGGGGCTTCACCTGCAGCCGGGAAGCCAAACACTGCTGCAGAAGAGCCCGTGCGCGGGGCGGCGCGCTAGGGGCGGCCATGCCCAGCAGCGTCGGCGGGCGGGCAGGCAGACTGGGGAGCCCGGGCTAGGCCACGCAAAGGCAGGCACCCCCCCAGCAGCACGCGGAGCCGGCGCTGACCCGGGAAGGGGTGGGGCATCGGCAAGTGCCAGGGGAAACTCCGCCCCGTTGCTCTCCTAGCTGCGGGCTGCAGGAGGTGCAGAACGAAGAGCGTCGTTCGGGCTCCGCAAAGAGGCCAGAGTAACCGGCTGGGATGGGGCAATGGGCTCGTGCCGCAGGTGCTGGGTTGCTGCAGGGTAGGCAGCGTGGTGTAGTTTGTGGAAGCGGGGAGCTGATCCAGGACCAGCCTTTTCAGTCAGGGCTCCAGAGTTTCTGTTAAATTCCTCCCGGGAACTTTGGTTTTATTTTGTTGGGGAGGATGTATGGAGAAGTGAGACATTGTTCGAAGTGAAATACATGTTTCTGACTGGAATCTTCCTTCCTGGCATGTATCAGGCGCCGTCCGCCCCTAGACTAGTATATGCAAAGCAATGCAGAGCTGTCCTGACGCGTTACTCAACAGGTGGCAAGTTCTGGGAGTGAATGAGTTTGGAGGCATTGTATTTTTATGAAATAAATGTGCTCTAGCTCATTTCAGCAGAATGCTTGGGTAAGAATTGCATGATACGCCTCCCCAGTGAAAACATTTTGGAGTAAGAAAAATCTGCTTCTCTGAACTTTGATTCAGGTGAGATTTTTCCTTCAGTAAATAAAAATAATAGCCTATTCTTTTCTGGACTCCCTTTGACTGTCTAATCTCCTTCCCTAGTAGGTGTGTGCGGCCCTCCTCTCTCCTGCTCCCCGGCTTGAGTATCCTATCCCCCATCCTTAGGGTTACCATCTAGAAGATGTAGAAAAAAAGCCACTCATCACCCTGCCACACCAACAAAAAGGATCTGAGTGCTGACTGCTGTAGCTAATTTATTACTAAAATGTTTTAGATCGGGGTTTTCAAACTATTGGGCATGCCTCCCAAGGGACGGGTGGGAGTATGTCCAGAGACACCAGCTGTGTACTTTCTTTCTTCCTTTATTTATTTAAGAGCTCCGGCTGTCAGGCCCTGGTGTCTGTGACTTATGCAGAAGGCGGACTGTGCACCCTGGAGGCGGGTATAAAGGGAACAGTTGGAGCCCTGCAGCCTCAGGGTTGATAGCTGGAGTCCCACCACTTGGGGTCAGTCTCTCTTCCTCCTGAATCCCTCACCAGGAGGCAGCCCAGGACTCTCCTTCCCGCATTCCAAATCTCGCACTGGGAGGCAGCTCCGGCTCAGGCTCTCCCCCTGCTCCTCCCAATCAATCCCTCGCCAGGAGGTAGCCCAGGCTTGGGCTGTTGAGCTTAAGCTGATGGCTGGACATCCACAAGGAAATGTCAGAAAGAGAGGGTAAGATTTTAATTTGGGCTGAAGGAGACAGATCAGGAGTGAAGAAGTAGATTTGTGAGTCTTAGACATCTTTTTTCCTGCTAGTTAAAATTGAGTTAAATTCATCTGTAATGAATTATTCTGTTAAATCCTAACATTTTCCCCCGAGAATACATTTATGTACATTATTGCCTCCAGGAGTATGATTAAGTTCCACTAATACTAATATGACTAATATGCATATAGTATAGCCCTAAAATTGAAGCCAGGTAAGAGCTGCCTTTTAATTGGTAAGGAATGGAAAATATGCTCACTTAATATTGTCCTTCAGTGGGAAAATAGTACATGCTAGAGAATAGCCTGCTGGTTGATTTCTGCAAGGAGAAGTGAGACAAGTAATTACTGAGCTAAATATTACTTGTTATGAGTGTCTGCTCTGATTTCCAATAAATAGTGTCCATGATTTATTGTGTTTCATTGGGTTGGAACATTCCTTTTTAATGTTGCAGCTGCTGACAGCGTGCAATGAGTGGAAGTGAACAAAAGGAAATGATGTTAAATACAAAGTATGGGAAAGAATTAAGATCAACAAAGAAAAAATGTATACAATTTTCACATATGTTTCCACTTGCTTCCTGGAAAATTCGGAAGCATTGTAATCATTTCTAGGTCTCTGCCAGGTTCCCACCTATCCTAATAGTCACAGGACAGTCCCTAAAGTAACAGAGCAGTTCTGCATTCCTTGGACCCTTAAAGTGGGACTGTCCAAGTTCTGATCTGTATCAGATTCAAGGCACTTAGGCACCAATCCTCCCTTGAATTCCCTCCCAAAAGTAACTATCTGAGTAGATGGAGCCCCAGAAAAGTCAATGGGGCTCTGTGTGGGCACAGAAGTCCACCTATGCAGAGCTAATTCCAGGATCAGGATTTTTATTTGCTTCATTTTCCCCAAAGTAATTACAACACTATGTAATAAATTTGTAACCTGCATGAGTGCTTATAAGGGACAGATCTTTATTACCTGGCCTCAGTCACATGATATGGGCCAAGTTTACCAAAGGTTACGTATCTGTCACATGTCAAGGGGCGGTATGCACTAACTAATGTCTACAATACAGCCGTGGGGTGGATTCACTTTCATATTATTTAAAAGGTGTCAGTCTCTTTTACATAGGGACATTTTGCAGTAATGGCATTCTGCAAAAGCAACCCTCTGTGAAAGAAAAGGAAATCAGTCAAGGCAGTTGGTGTTTGTATTAAGGAGAGGGAGGATGAATGAAGTGCTCACTACTGTTAGCTGTAGGGCTTTGTTAAGAATCTGCTGTGTTTAAATAAAATACCTTCTGTTAATTTACTGGGAAGCTGTGTCCCTTTACTCATTAAGTAGAACTTGATTAAGTAGAAATCCAATAGAGTTCTTTTCCTTACAGTAATTTATTTGTGATTTAAAGGGATTGTTACAGAGAATACATAGACACATGGTGTAAACAGGATGTAATAAAGGGATAACAGTCCATTGTTGCCTTGGTAGTAGTCAATCACGGTGGTATTTAATACAATACATTCATTTATAAACAAGTTGCAAGTAGGTATGCAGGTGAGCCAGTATATATAGAGTTTGGGGTGGCATTATTACTCCTAGAGATTTCCGGCACTTGATGTGGCTATGTTGTATTTAGAGAGAGAGAGAGAGAGTGTGTGTGAGCTAGCTGCAGATAGCCTATAAATCTGCTACAGCTCATCTTTCCATGAATTTTCCCTGGGATTATCAGATTTGGGTAGTAATTTGTTCTGCAACTTGTATTTCTTTTATCTTGTCTGGCCACATCTTAAACGAAGGACTTCCTTTTTGTGAGCCATAAAATGGTGATAAATTTCTTAGCAGTTTCTGTTAACTTTTTAATAGATATAATTCTCTAGCAATTTGAAGGGCATATCTCACTATAAAGTAAATTAGATTTTCATCTAATATTGCATTAGAGGTATTTTGCTGCCTATTGTGTATGTAAACCAGTGATTTTGGATTTGATAGCAGTACCAGAAAATTTGTGGGGACGGTGTCCTATCTGCTAACAGCCTCTCCAGCAGAGATTTGGATTGTTTAGATCAATTTGATTAATGTAACTAGCATGCAAAAGAAATTTCTGGTTAATTTCTGATTCTTTTTTATTCAAATTCTACCTGAGAAAGGGAGTTGGTGGTGGTGGTAACCACTCAATTTAGTTGAGTCTTTCTTTAAATGATTTTAAGTAAACCCTTCCTTTGGTAACCTGTGTGTCATATGCCCTCAGTTGAGACTTAAACACAAAATATTTTTATTTAATTACATTTCATGTAGTAGCTCACAGCCTTTAATATCCTATGATTGGTTCTCCACTCACTCTGCTTGAGCCTCTTAATATACTCATTTAACTCTTTAGCATTAACAGAGTTTGATTAAGATTAAGAGGATATGACAAAAATGGGTCAGTGACTTCAATGGAGTTACACCAGGGACTAATTGGAGCCAATATTATAAACAATAATAATTAGTAGTAATGATTAGTTCTTGAGCTCATATGCATGCTTATTTTGTGCACACACTGCCTGAAAGTAGATATCTGTCTAGCCATCTGTGCATGCAATTCAGGATTTGCACACACACAACTGAGAATACATGAATGAAATAGGAAAAACTGCACATCTACCTAGTCTGACAGGTTCCCCCCCAGGGTGCCACCTGGAACTGGGTACCACTGAGCCCCCGACCCACCCTCTCACACTATACTGCTGTGACAAGCTGCAAAGCCCTCCAGTCTGCACTTTCACCAGCATACATTTACATACAAGTAGGGACAAACTCCGCTGCAGTTACATGCAGGCTTTCTGACCAGCCCCTGCATAGAAAGGCTACAGTTAAGGCTACTCCCAGATCCCCAGGCATGCACCCCCTCTGGAGTATAAACCCAAAATTATACAGTCTTGCACTGCACAGGGAACTGTACAACGTAAGAAAATAAAATTCGCTCCCTCCCTCAATGTGGAGAGGAATATGCAATAGCCTTTTGCCCCTGAACTAAGATTCCCATACACTTCACTGTAACTTACACTTGTTTTTGCTTTATCTAAACTGTATTAACTACAAAAGATAGATTATAAGTGATAGCAAACAGATCAAAGCAGATTATTTAGCATATAAACAAAAAACGCAAACTAAGCTTAATATACTAGATAGATTGGATAGGAGTAGCAGATTCTCACCCTTCAAGATAATACAAGCAGGCTGCAGATTCTTAAGGGGCAAGCTGCACTTGCATTACAGCTTGGAATCCCCAGGTGTCTCATTCACAGGCTAGAAATCCCTTTAGCTTGTATTCAGCACTTCCCCCAATTCAGTCTTTGTTCCTCAGGTGTTTCCAGGAGTCTTCTTGTGTGGGAAGTGAAGAACCCCAGATGATGTCACTCCCTGTCTTATAGCTTTTGCATATGGCGGGAACCTTTGTTCCGAAGCTTGGTTCTCAGTCCAGTCTGTGGAAAAATATTGACATCCCAAGATGGAGTCTAGAGATATGTGTTCTCATTATATGTCCTTGTAGAGTCATAGCAGCCATTACTAGGAGGCTTTCTGTAGCATTCACAGGAAAGCTCACGGGGAGGGAGATAAGTTTCTCTTAAGGCCTATTGTTTTTTCCTAATGGCTCATTGCTCTGAATAGGCCCTTCCCAACCAGCTATCTAGACTGAAAGCATCTTGTCCAGTGGGCGTTACCCAGTTGTAGCTACATTTGAAATACAGTTACATAGTCAACATTCATTATTTCAGACACAAAAATGATACATGCATACAAATAGAATAATCATATTCAGCAAATGATAACTTTTCCAGTGACACCTCACATAACTTATCTTGCATAACATACATTATAATTACATCTTAATCATATCATAATAATCTCACTATGAAGAATATGGGGTGCAGTGTCACACCTAGTTTAACAAACTGTGGCCATATAGAGAATGGTTATTTACCTTATAGTATCTGTGGTTCTTTGAGATGTCATCTTTTTGGATCCTTCTCTAGAAGACTGATAAGCAATGCTCCATCTGGAAGATTGCCACTAACTAAAAAGGTGACTGAAAGAGTGCCCTACCAAATTTGGCTTCTGATGTTGTGGCCAGGTTGAGGGTATAGTGTTTAACAAAAGCAAGGGATTACCCCATGTAGCTGCCTTGGAAATACCAGATCTGGGGATGTTTCTAAAGCATGCAGAGGAGGCAGCCTGTGCTTTAGTAGAATGTTAATGTTTGGCGGAAGATGTGTAACAGCCATGTGATAGCAGATGGAAATACCCTTTGTAATCCATTTAGAAATTCTTTCAGAGGAGATGGCTTGACCTTTAAAAACACCAGAGATAGCAACAAAAAGACAGGGCATCTGTCTGAAAGGCTTTGTCCTATCAAGATAATATAATGTCCAAGGTGTGGCGTTTCTTTTCCCATGGAAAGAAATGAGGTTTTAGAAAGAAAATGGATAAAATTAATAGATTTAGTCCAATTAAAATGACACAATATTGAGAATAAATTTGGAATGAGGTTTCAACACAACCTTGTCTGTGTGGAATATTGTGTATGGGGGTCAGCCATGAGAGCTTGTAGTTCACTGACCCTTCTGGCTAACTTATGGCAACTAAGATGACTATTTTGGGAGTGAGGTGGTGTAGAGAACAGTCAGTGAGAGGCTAGAAGGGAGGTTTGAATAGATGAAGGACATAGTTCAAAGCTATGGCAACTTCCTGAAGAGACCTCCCTTTGATCAATCAATCATCTAGTTAGGGGTAGACGTGATGTTCCACCACTAGCTAGGCATTTCATAAAGACCCTTGGTTCTATGGAAAGAGCACATTGTAGAACCTTGTACTGGTAATAATTGGGCCCTACTCTGAGTTGCTGGTACACCTCTACCCTGATATAACGCTGTCCTTGGGAGCCAAAAAATCTTACCGCGTTATAGGTGAAACCGCCTTATATCGAACTTGCTTTGATCCACTGGAGTGCGCAGTCCTGCCCCCCCGGAGCACTGCTTTACCATGTTATATCCAAATTTGTGTTATATTGGGTCACGTTATATCGGGGTAGAGGTGTATTCAAAGCACTGTGTACACATTAAGGGCAAAATTATGCTTGGCCACACATTATGCAAAAGGAGTGTGAGGAGAGGGCCCAAGGAACTTCCCTCCCTAAAACCATCAAGCAAAAGCCAGGCAAAATGGTAGTCCTTGAACTCTGGGAGTGTAAGGGCTACTCAAAGCTAGTGCTGCTGCTAGAGCTAGCTTCTCTATAGGAGGTGGCCATACTGATCAACAGAGCTGGGTAAGCACAAATGGTGGTAGACATTGCACTCTCTTCCAGGGTCATGGCTTAGTGACTACACTCCCTTGTGTGCGCCAGAGCTCTTGGAAAGACTTCAGGCACAATGTTTGAGTTCCCTGTGAGTTGGTGCAACTCTCTAGCTCTCCCCACAATTCAGTGCTGAGCTGTAAACTCATGACAAAGCCCTAAACAGGCATATTCACTAGCTAAAGGCGACTAGACCCCTTAAAAGAATAAATAGATTTGTAGTTCTTATAGGTACTTAGAGGGCAGAAACCTGAATCTGCGGTTCCCTAGCTGTGTGTAGGTTTTTCAATATGTCTTTGCAGTTTGGAAGATTTGTCTTAGCCATAAATGGCAAAATACTGTTTACAATAAACAGTCATCTCTATTGTGTGGGAGCATTGCCAGAATTTGAGTAGTTAATTTTAATGCATGTTTACAGTACACAGCAAAAAAACCCATTACTACATTACAAATAGATTATGGTTTTGTTTAGTCTTTCATACAATTACAAAAGTGGCACATGTTAAATTAGAGTAATCATAATTTAATTAAACTTCTGAATAAAATAACACTAAATGTGAAGTCTGTCAGATCCAATTATGCCACTCCTAAGTGAGAAGTAGACATTTGCCTCTGTTGAAAAGGTTGCTAGATAAAGGTATCCACTTACTCACCAGAGTTCCTGAAAGAAAATAAGAATATAGTTAAACATGGTCTTTTGTCTACAGGTGACTAACACTTTAATGAAGTTCTGATATTAACGTACTATGCTTTTCCTTACTCAAATGTTTATCGTGCCAGGCATTTGTGTGCACAAGTCACAATGGTGTTAACAAGTCCAATTCAACTACCATTGCCTTCAGTGGGGCAGGATTGGGCCTGGAGGGAATAGACCTTTTAAAGCATCCACATATAATGGGGGAAAATAAATCCCTTCGGGTCTAAGCAGAATACATCATCCATCTTCCTACAGATGTAAACTCCAAAGGAATGCCGATGCTGCATTCTTTGCAGTAAGGCAATCCCTTAAGCAGAAGGACTAGCCTGCCACAGTCTCCTGTAACTACACTATCCTCTGACACCTGTCACAGGGGGGATATTAGTATGCACTGTCTTCAGTGGATACTGTTACATTCCCTATCTCCCCACCAAATAAACAGCTTTGCAATAATGAAAAACACGATGGAGAAGTGTTTTTGTCAGTTAACTCTTTGGGTATGTCTACAGTGCCAGTGGGAGGTGTGAATGCAGCACATGTAGACATACCTGAGCAAGGTTCAGGGTCCTGGGGAGGATTGTATTCAGGCAGCTAGCCTGTGCTGCCAGAGCTACGCTATTTTTAGAATGCTAAACTCGAAGCTAAACTCTGGTACGCCTATATCTGCTGCATTCATGCCTCCTGCCAAGAGTGTCAGTGACAACTTGTCACTGGGCTGCATTGGCACTGAAAGTTACTACCCCTTCTAGGGCTGCAGCAAACGCCAGATGTGAGGAGGACATGATGATGATCATCCTGGCATAGGGCTTTCCCTTCAAAACAATTTTCCTGTGAGCAGAGAAGTGGCTCTTTTCTCTCCTTCTCTGAAGAATACTGTGAATAGCCTTTTATTAGCCTTATGTTCTCAGGGGGATTCCCCTCTAATCATTGTTGTGTGTAGGGATAATCCTTAGGCCATGGGGTATGGGTATGGCTACATTGCAATAACTGCCCCTCCTCCCCTGGCACTGAATCGCAGAGCCCAGGTCAGCTGACTCAGGCTCATGAAGCTATAAAATTGCAGTGTAGACATCTGGGCTTGGGCTGGTGCCTGGATGTGGAGATCCCATGAAGGGTGGGTCTAATGCCCACAGCAAGTGAAAAAACTCTCATGTAACATAAATAAAAGCCCTCTTTAGAAAGTCTAATACCAAATATTTTTTTCCTGTGTATGTTAGGAAACATTTTATAGTTGATGTTCTGCCTCTGTGTAGTAGCTATTTAGCATTCATTGTAAAAGACAAAGATCAACCCTTCAGAAGTTTTAAAATCTAAGGTTATGTGGAAAAATGTCCTTTACAGCCTTGGTGTTCTTCTAGGGTATTGTGATGGGGTGCCCTCCCCACACCAGCCCTGCAAGAGATGAATTAGGCCAGGTGGACTCAGTCAACCAAGTAAGATGCAAACAGGAGATTTAAGCTGAGTGGAGGGCACTACTTGGGAGTCTCACCTTCGAGGGAACAGGTAGGGCTTTTGTAAAGCCAGGAGTCTGGAAACAGTGGATGAAGGAAACCTGCAGTCTCTCTCTGAGTTAAGAGGAAAGGAAAGGTAGATAGGAATCCATAATAAAGGGTTTACCTAGCAGGCCTAAAAGGGGCGGGGCAGGGTGTGTGTGTCTGACTAGGAAGACTGATGAAGAAGGAGTTTAAGGAAGCACAATAGAAAATAGTCTAGGGAAGAGAACAGTAAGATTGGTGAAGTCCCAGACCTTAAATACTTGCTATAAGGCCTTGGACTGGAACCCAGAGTAGAGGGTGGGCCTTGGTTCTGGAGTGGTATTGCTAGCGGCAATGAATAGGGACATAATTGGGACAGTGGGCATGAGGACTGCCTGATGTCCTTGGTTCAGAAGGACTTTGAAAGACTCCCCTATTTGCATCTTAATTGGTTCAGCTCTTTCAGGGCCAATGTAGGGTGTACACCCCATCTCTGGGATCAAATGTTAAATAGGCTATCAAACGTGTTGAAAATCCTATGCTTTAGGATAGTTTAGAAAAGCAAAATTTTAAAAAGTTCTCAGCAGTGAAGAGTCTCAAATATTTTAAGCTATATTGAAAGGCTTACAGGAAGCAAAATAACTTGTTGGGACATGGTCTACTATCTTACATGACTCAATGAATATTCATTAGTGATTTACAGGCTTCTATTTTTTCACTCTTTCCCTTAGCCATTTTACTTTCCACATAAAACCAAAGGAAAATCAAGATCAGCTGGCAGTTACATTGGATTAGAAACTTATGAAAGAAGTGAGACCAGTAAAACAGGTACAGTACTGTCTCAGTTAATACATCTTCTCTACTGAAATTATGGGCTGACACCTGACAAAATAAGCCTCTGCAGTTGTTTAGGTTGCCATTCGTTCTGGATTTCATGTGTTGCTGCATCATGCGAGTAGGAGAGTTTTACCATCATGAAAGTGATTTGGGGCCAGCAAAACATGATCATAAGACAACACTGTGTCGTACAGTGATGACATGTTTATGGATGCCATCATTCTGTGTAGTGGTGTGATGACACTTTATGGAATGTCACCTGTTGCAATAACAATATGAAGATGTTGTACCAAAATGTCATGAGAGAAATCAAACTTCAAAAGATGGCAAACCTACTCAACCCATTACACTTTGACAAGTTTCTTGGACTAGTCAGTTAAAGAGATCGTTGTACTCTGGGCACAAAGTAGCCTGTCTCCAGCAACTGCCAAATAACAGATGAGGCATTCTATTACTGCCTCTTCAGACTTCACTCAGTTCTATCAGGATGCATGGAAAACAACTCGTGGGAATGACATCAGGGGTTTTCTATTCAAAGCATTTCCTAATGACCTATATAGACTGTGTTCTTTCTTGGTTGGCTGAACATCAGTATGCCTAGGAAGAGATTTATAGGAGCTGTGACCCAAAGATGTCTTTAAGTCTTCTGGATTGACAACTGTATTTCAGCGTTCAACCACATAGAGTATGTCTACACTGAGATAAAGGACCCGTGGTATGGCTCAAGGCCGTTAGAGAGAATATATAAATTGTGCTGTAACTTTTGATGTCTCAGAACCATTTAAAGGGATCTGATCTTTTCCTGGTGCACAGAGAAATTACATAAATAGTTCCAAGTAGCATTAATGGGATAAATGTCACTACCCTCTGTTTACCAGAAGCTAGGAGTGGATGATGGGATGGATCACTGTGATTGCCTGTTCTGTTCATTGCCTCTGAAGCACCTGGCATTGGCCAGTTGGAAGACAGAATACTGGGCTAGATGGACCATTGATCTGACCCACTATGGCCGTTCTTATATTCTAAATTTAACCCTGCCACACCAGGGAGAAAAATATAAACCTGTAAGTCTGGGGGAAACACAGTGCATCATCGCTGTCAGCCCTCAAAATTATGCCAGAGTTGTAGACTAGTGTGGCTTATGTTTTATATCTGAAACATCTAGAATTTTTTGGAACTAGAGGTGCAAGTGCATCCCGGTGAATGCAGCTATTCATCCTGTGCAGCAGAGAAGTCACGGCCCAGGCAGTGTACTGAGTATGAGTCTTTTGAATTAAACCTTTGAAAACTGAAATTGTATATGCACTCTATGGACATCAGATATTCATAACACTTTTTCATAAACAGGGGTGTTCTCTCCAGGAGTGTCAGTCAAAATTTCCTCATTCCCTCACTGCTTTACAGTGTGCTAGCTGGCTCTCCACCCCCACCCCCACCCAAAAAAAGTGGTTACATATGGAACTATAGTGGCCACAAGTATGGGCAGAAAAACACAAGTAAAAAGTCTTATGGGCCTTGTGAAGGCATGGAGTCACCAGGGCTTAGAGAAGGCCTGACCATGCCTCCAACCTCCCTCAGCCAGCACTAGCCCAGCTGAGAAACTGACGGGCGCTTGCCCACTTGGACTAGGGGAAGGTGTTATGCCTGCTGAATGGGCGAAGGACTATAGGGCAGCAATGAATTGGGTCTCCTGTCTGGTAACTTATGCCCAAACTGTTAAGGATTTGTTTTTATCAAGACAAAAGAGATAACACCCATTGCTTACATCATATCCCTCAAAGTGAAAGCTAGCTCCTGGGGTGTAGTATTGTAATATGTAGGCTGGGTGTGGCTACAGTAGAACAACACCGACTGTTTTAGTCAGAGCCCAGAATCCTCACTAGAAGTAGTCTCTCACCTCTAGAGATCACTGGAACCAAACAGGGACCCTCCATAAAGGATTTCAGACACTCTCGCTCATACTGTGCCTATTTCTACACAGTGCTTGTGTGCTTTGTCAAGGAGGGTGCATTAGGGAAGCAATGATGGAACAGATTGACAAGATAATATGCATGTGAGGGACGGTTTGGGGAAATATTTGAAAAAAATGTAACCAACAAGATACCTTTGATACAATGACCTTTAGCATTCAACTTTTCTGTTATTTTTATCTTTTGTATTTAAACTGCAAGCTTTTTGAGGCAGGCACCCTATCTTCCTATGCATTTTTTTTTTTTTAACAGTGTGGATACAGTGAAACCTGAATTCTGACTGTGGTCTTTGGATACTACTACTATATCAATGTTAAATAATGGAAAACCAGGGAGTGATACACATCCTACCCTCATCCTGGGGAAGTAGTAAAAATTCCCTTAACATCCATTACAGCCACATCTCTTCAGCACTGTGAAGAACACTACATCACATTTGCCATAACAATATATTATTTGTTTTGGAAATGAGTTCTTGTAATATATACATACATATTATCAGTACCATAAGGTTTGTGAACTGCTGCGGCTGGGAAAAAAAACACACATAATGCTATTCATCCATAGTATTTGTACAAACTATGGGCCCAATCCTGCTAAACGTACTTATGTGAGTAAACCTTATTCACACAAGTAGAGTCCTCCTGCTGTCAGCATGAGACAGAACTGCAGGCTCTGGAATTCATGCAATATTCAAAAGTTGCTTTGCCCACAGGTACAACTACCTCTGAAGTGAAAACAATAACTGCACAATACCACACTGAAAATTAAAAAGAGAAGAATACCATAGCGCTATGAAACTGGAGGTAGAATTTCATTTCCATCTTGAATTTGGCCAGGGCACCAGGATAAGCATCTTTACCCATGCAAAATGTGCCACAAATGGTCAGGACTTAGGTTTTATTTCTCATCTGCTACAAAAACATTCTGCTGCAAGACATTCTGTAAAACAGACAACATTCAGTCATCATTTCAGTTCATCATTTCACACAGGATAGAGACTAATTCCCTGTAATATCCTTGTAGGCTTCGAGTGATGCATTTGCTCTGCTTAATTTCATTTACTCATATTGTATCATATTCAAACTAATTGTTTCTCACTCTTTATTATTAAACAATTGATGAGTGGTCTTCACCTGCAATTAATGTTATTGTTATCCACTAGAGGGAGCACAATGAAAAGCCTTAAATAAAAGGTTTACAAAACAACAACAAAAACCTGAGAAAGTCTGGGCGTCTTGTGCAGGACAGACCAGAGTGATCACTGAGCCACAAGTTCAAGAATGGCTTCCTTGTGGAGCTTCGATACTGATGCAAATTCCTTCAGGCAGGTGAATGTGGTGTGTTGCGGAAGTGATATGAGGGGAAGGAAGAGCATTCCATTCTACAAGCTCTGTACAAGGGAACAAAATCAACAAATAAAAAAAAAATAGTCCCTACCCCCAAAGAGCTTAACACCTTAGAATGGTATTCAAATTGTTCTTGAATTCTATAGTCAGTTGTCAGGACTATGAATCTTCTGAAAGTAAGGATTGGAAGAAAGCTTTTGTCACTAAAATAGACACATTATTGTGTAATGTGACATGATGTAACTGAGTACTACACTTCTTTAAAATATTTAAGAGGCAAAACCACTAACCCTGATTTCAGAAATTGTGACCAAACCCCATTTGACATAGTCAGTCATTCAAAAGCAGAATAACGGAGTCCAACACTATTCTAAGGTGTTAAGCTCTTTCGGGGTAGGGACTGTCTTTTTTTGATTTGTTGATTTTGTTCCCTTGTACAATGCTTGGCATAAGGTCCTGATCTATAACTGGGGCTCTTTGATGCTGCCTCAATAATAATTGAAATAAAATTTGGCAGAAAGCAGGTAAAATGATTTTCTTAAATTACTCCTCTTCAAATATGGAAATCTCTCTTTTTTTTTTAAGTTAGTCAGTCACTCCTGTTGAAGATTTTAATATTTTATTTTTGTTTGTAAATTTCTAAGAAGAACGTGTGGCCCTGTGCCTGAAGGGAATATTCAACAAAATAAATCTCTTAGTTTCTGATCCACAGAGACCTGCTCAAGGCTGCAAAAGCTCTGTAAAATCACCTGGGTCTGGATGTATGTTTTTGCTAAATTAGGATATATTAACTTGAGAGACTTACTGACTAATTTTTAATAGTTTTCTTTTAACTTTTAAAATTAGGTTTTCCAGCCATTCTTGACTGAGGAGACTTTAATGAATAGGATGAGCCAAGATCACATGAAGAAGCAATATGCAAACTATATGGGGCTCCTATTATGGAAGCACTGCAAACTTATTTAGCCAGCATGATTCTAAAGCCTTTAAGGGGAGGACTTTAATTTTTTTTCTTTGTTTAAGGATTGGCAAAGCAACCTAATTATTAAATTGCATGCAAACAACTTCCGTGTTCTTATATTTACTAAGAGTTAGCATGAATGATTATGCAAAACAAATCTGTCATTAGTTGCTCTCTATTTGCATTGTGCCTGTTAATATGCTGCTGTTCAGACTATGGCAGGGTATAATAAGCAATTCTACTTCTGAATTAAAAATTCTATATGTGAAACTACAAAGAAACCTCATTTTGTTCTGCATGGATTTTTGAAATCACACATTGTCTCAAAATATCCTGGACCAAATTTGATGCTGATATTAATGGGCATTTCACCAAGTCATGCTTCTGCCCCAGCTCCAAAGCATGTGTTGCCATGCCCAGTCTCTTTCACAGAGGTTATTTCTTTAACAGAGGTTAGCAAACAAATAAAAGTCTTTTAAAGTTAATCCTTGGCCCCAAGCTTTGAGGCCACCCCTCCCTGGCGTCTCTGGCCTTGTAACTCCTGGCAGCTTCCCAGTCTCAGTTGATTCTGCTCCCTTCTTGGAGCAACAGCCCAGCACTGCTTCCCCGAGTCCCTGGCTCCAGACACCAACCGTAGGCACTAGCTCCACTCCAGTGTGGGCCTTTCATCACAGGGTGCAGCCTGTCTCAGTTCAATCTCCTGCATCTGCTTACTAGCAGCCTTTTATAAATCCTGGTGTAGTCCAGCCCTCTTTAATTGGCTGGATTGGGCTCACCTGCTCTGGTCCAGGGGTACTGGGGGCACAACTCCAATTAAAATCAATGCCAGCTTGATATCTAGACATGTAGGAAAAGGTGCAAAAAGAGATTATAATGAATGTAATAATGATAATGGGTCAGATTTAGTGTCTCTCCCTACATTATGCCCCTACACAGGGGCCAGACACAATTGCAATTCTTGTTTCTGAGTGTAAGAACTGCTCCATCTCAAAGGTGATAGTAAGGGGCAAAGGGAATGTAATGACACTACACGTCCTTCCCCCATGGGCCAGCAGCGTTGGCTGGCTTCAGAAGGGATTAGAAGCCACATCCTCCAAGGTATGTCTATAGTATCCACCGGATTGGCGGGCAGCGATCAATCCTGCGGGGGTTGATTTATCGCATCTAGTCTAGACACAATAAATCGACCCCCGAGCACTCTCCCGTTGACTCCTATACTCCACTGCCGTGAGAGGCGCAGGCAGAGTCGACTCACCGTAGTGAATACACTGCGGTGAGTAGATCTAAGTACATTGACGTTATTCACCTAGCTGAAGTTTTGTAACTTAGATTGATCCTCCCCCTAGTGTAGAGCAGACCTAAAAGGCTATCATAGTGGCTGCACTTTCTGGGAACTCCAGAAGGTATTGTGCCTGTCTTAAGCACAAATGTCTCCCAGAATTCTTATTCCTCATAATCACTGCAAAATGTTTGTATGGGTAATATTTAATAAGTTTTGTGTCTATACTGGAAATTAAGTTCTTAAAGTCTTGAAGTTAAAGGCAGGTCACCAGGAGGTGACATGTTTCAAACAAGGTCGGTTCAGGCAGAGTGTAGTAGACAATTAAATCTACCACACTTGCATCCAAGTTTTAAAATCACGGACTGAGGAGCTCACTGGATCATTAATGTTGATTTTCAATAACTCTTGGAACACTGGAATAGTGGGCCTAAGCGATTTGGGGAAGGGATGGCAGTTGTCGGTAAAGCACTTAGCACATTTTGAGTGCTCTATACATGATTAATAATGATGCATTTGAAAAAATTAATAATTCATATCTTCATTTATAAGAATAATTTCAATTGCTCAGTCTGCTGACCTGAACCACAATCAAAGTCCGTCCTGTCCCAGCGTCTCCAAGCACTTTGCTTACACTAGTGCTTCCCAAGTGGAGATGTACCAAATGTCGCAAGGGTCAGAACGTTTTAGGAGGAAAAAACTTACTGTGGCCAAGGCCTACTAGTAGAAAGCCATAAAAAGAGAGACACCATTAACGGAGGTTCATGCTGCCAAGCCCAGGTCTCTCTTTCTTTCACTGTTTTCACTTCAAGAAGAGATTCACCAGGTGAAGTTCCACTTTTGCATTCAGATCCTGAGCACACCAGAGCCTACTGGTACTCTGTTGTCTCAAGACCTAGGATGAGCAATAGTGCCTGTAGAAATTCAGGAGGAGAAAGCAGACCTTCTCTAGGATTGTGGTGAGTTAGTCTAAGTCCTACATTTCCGCACCAGGCCTTCAAGATGATATCTCCTCTCACTGTGGAAAAGAAAGTGGCAATTGCCACAGAACTGATATTAATAGGGCATCTATCTCCTCTTTACTTCTCAGTGACCCTGCATATACATTGCTTCCCTGGCTCTTGAAGCCATATCCAAACCCACATAGAAAATGATTCTTCCGCAGACTCAACTGTTGCAGGATAGTGGTGGTGGGTGCATTTAAAGCAAGTTGAAGATGTCTGACTTAAAAAGAGTGCAATCAACAATATGGCTATCAGACTATCTGCCTTTTGTATTCAGCATAGTATTTATATTTGTGAAGTGTTCAATACACTGTGAAGTAAAAAGGCAGCACGCTTTGTAACAAATTATGCACAGCCGGACAGACAAGCTGTATAACCTGAGCTTGTCACTTATGTGAACATAATCTGCAATAGGCATGTAACCAAAACAAGAGATGCTGTGTTCTCTTATTTTGCCAATGCAGGGATAGAAGTGGGTATAGATTAAATTGATGCCTAATGTAGGTAGAATTAAATGTTAGCAATTGCTGCTAGTACATATCTTTTTTTTCCTGTGGTGGTTTTAACATTCTGTAGTAGGTATGCTTTTTATAACTTTATTGAAGTTATAAGAGTCTGACAAAGAGATGTTGTAAAGTAATTGGTGATATATGGATGGTAAAATAAAATGTTTGTTAGACTCTTGACATAAAGATAAATAGTGCAAATAAATGTTATTAAGCACACAGATGTGCAGACCAGTTTCAATAAGTAATCAGTCCCATAAAAGAGACCTAAAGACAAAAAAATGTGTTTTACAAACTACAGGGACATGAAATTTATAGCTGGGGATTCCAGTTCTCTTTCTCCTGCTCTTTTAGCACTTACATAGTTGACACACTCTTCACTCAAAGCTCGTTACAGAGATGGGTAAGTACCATTGTTTCACTCTTACAGATGGAAAAACTGAGCCGCTGTAAGGTTTAGTTGATTTGTACAATGTTATATATCACATCAGAGGCAGACAGGAGCAAAGCCCAAATCTCTTGGTTCTCAGGCCTGTGAATCATAGAATCATAGAAGATTAGGGTTGGAAGAGACCGCCGAAGGTTATCTAGTCCAACCCCTTGCTCAAACAGGACCAACCCCAACTAAATCATCCCAGCCAGGGCGTTATCAAGCCAAGCCTTAAAAACCTCTAAACTTCCGTAGGTAACCCATTCCAGTGCTTCACCACCCTCCTAGTGAAATAGTTTTTCCTAATATCCAACCTAGACCTCCCCTACTGCAACTTGAGACCATTGCTCATTGTTTTGTCATCTGCCACCACTGAGATCAGCCTAGCTCCATCCTCTTTGGAACCACTGCATCATGCTGTTAAATAACCTCCAATCCACATCAGAATCAAAACTTTTTAAAGAGACCATTTAAAAAAAATCAGTTATTAAAAAGGTTTTCCCAACAATCTCTCACTCTTTCTTCTGAGATGGCAAATGTGGCCTTTGAAAGCTATCCCAGTGTGACCAAATGTGCTCCATACTAACACCCTACAAACTATTGTAATAATTTTTGTACAAAATCTGCCTTGTGAGGAATCATTTGAAAACTAACACTGGTCAATAATATCATGGTGAAATGTATATAGCAACATTATATGTAAAGTTATGAATTCCCCCTCTATATTGTTGTTAGCACACGTTCAAACTCACATAGCCCTGACTAGGCAGAAGTTGTTAAACAGGTCTATCCTAAACAAAGAAATGTGTGTTTACCTCAATTTACACACCCCGGAAAGGGTCTGTTTTCCATTTGCTTCACATATGGATTGTGTATGATTTGCCCAGAGGGCTGAGTCACTGAAAAACCTGCCTGAGGTTAACTGCCAGCAGAGGTCACCATAAGCAGCAATGCAGAGGGAATGCAGGCGCGGACACATGGTTGAGCACGGGCGCTCACATAAAGTGTGTGGACCCCATCACAATGGACTACAAAAGCAAGGGGCAAAAACACTCCAGGTTATCTATCTATCTTTCTCTCCTTATTTCACCTAAGAAGACAAAGGAACCAGCCTTTTGACTGTGGGTGGGATACTGACGTGAAAATGTAGTTAGCAATGTTGCTGGGAACATGTGGTGAGGATTTTTCTTTGAACAAAGTCTCATTTGTTAAATTTTAGCTACTAGAAAAAGTTTTATCTTTATTTCTCTTGGAACCATTTCTGACTTTAATACCTTTTACTTGTACTCACTTAAAAACCAGGTCTTTGTAGTTAAATAAACTTGTTTTATTTTTTAATCAAAACTAATCCAGTGTTGTGTTTAAACCGAGCTGTTTGGTAACTCCATTTAAAATAGCAGGCTGTTGGATATTGACCCCTTACAGGGGCAACAGACTTAGAATCATAGAATATCAGGGTTGGAAGGGACCTCAGGAGGTCATCTAGTCCAACCCCCTGCTCAAAGCAGGACCAATTCCCAACTAAATCATCCCAGCCAGGGATTTGTCAAGCCTGACCTTAAAAACCTCTAAGGAAGGAGATTCCACCACCTCCCTAGGTAACCCATTCCAGTGCTTCACCACCTTCCCAGTGAAAAAGTTTTTTCTAATATCCAACCTAAACCTCCCCCATTGCAACTTGAGACCATTACTCCTTGTTCTGTCATCTGGTACCACTGAGAACAGTCTAGATCCATCTTCTTTGGAACCCCCTTTCAGGTAGTTGAAAGCAGCTATCAAATCCCCCCTCATTCTTCTCTTCTGCAGACTAAACAATCCCAGTTCCCTCAGCCTCTCCTCATAAGTCATGTGCTCCAGCCCCCTAATCATTTTTGTTGCCCTCCGCTGGACTAGTTCCAATTTTTCCACATCCTTCTTGTAGTGTGGGGCCCAAAACTGGACACAGTACTCCAGATGAGGCCTCACCAATGTCAAATAGAGGAGAACGATCACGTCCCTCGATCTGCTGGCAGTGCCCCTACTTATACAACCCAAAATGCCGTTAGCCTTTTTGGCAACAAGGGCACACTGTTGACTCATATCCAGCTTCTCGTCCACTGTAACCCCTAGGTCCTTTTCTGCAGAACTGCTTCCTAGCCATTCGGTCCCTAGTCTGTAACAGTGAGTGGGATTCTTCCATCCTAAGAGCAGGACTCTGCACTTGTCCTTGTTGAACCTCATCAGGTTTCTTTTGGCCTAATCCTCTAATTTGTCTTGATTTATAATGTCTGAACTGTTCATAAGGGGGCTGGGCAATGCAGAACGCATGCTTTGGTTAAAATTTGGGACTGGGAGTGTGTTAGGGTCAATCAGCAAATAGTAAGCCAGAGTTGCAAGGTTGCTGGAAGCCAGAGTGGAGCTGGTGTGTTGCTGACAGGCTGCTGGGATCAGAGTTGTTGGACCAGGACTGCAGCTGTACGCAGGCACTTGGGGTGTGACTTGCATGCTGTTTGGCTGTTTGTGAGCAGCCCAGGTTGGAAGATATAACAGCAAAGCTTTCAGAGTAGCAGCCGTGTTAGCAAAGCTTTGTGAGCCTACCAAGGTTGCAGGACAGGTGGTGACACATCCCCTCACTGATTGCATCCTGGAATGTGACACCTAGCAACATTAAATTGTTCCCAAAACCAATTTTACTTTGTGCAAGGTTAGACAGCGCTTAAAAGGGCAAGAAACTTGCCCAAGCCAGAGTTAAAGCTGAGTGGAAAGTGTGTGGTGCAGCTCTTTGCCATTTCTTTTTTTTTTTTTACATATTGTTGCCTTTATAGTGATGTATAGCTAAAATGCATGCAAACTATTAATTTTGTAATACCTGTTTATTTTCTGTGATAACATTTTGCACTACTTTAACATTGGCTCTAGCTACTCTAGGAAGGTGCTAACACAGCTTCCATGGTCAGTGAAGACAGGGTCTTTGGAATATAACTATGTTGGAGTTCCAAAATTAGTAATTCTCCAGATGAAGTACTGGAGACTTCAGTATTCTTTTGCCTCTTTGGTTTGCATTAGAAGTAAGTTTCTGGGGAACTATTTGACATCTCCACATGCCTCTGTCAGTTCTATGCAAAATTTGCTTCTACTGTTAGAACAAAAATGGCAGTTTGAGTGAGAGCCATTTATTGTTTAGCAAAAATATTGTATTCTTATCTTTTAATTTTTCTGTGGCTGCCTGAGATCTTTGAAGCCTGAACTAAGTCTTTGAAGTTAGTGTGTTTCAACAAAATGCTTGATTATCTGTGTCTTTTAAAAATATAGGACAAAAAATGAAACATTTAAAAAATGATGGTAAAAATTCTCCTGAAAGTAAAACAACTGTAGTCCTTGTTATAATAACATTTTAAATTGATTTTAGAAAATTGGAACCATCACAGACTGCAAGTATCTACAATAGTGGAACACTAGCTACACATTGGGGTTTATATTTGAAAACTAAAGGCGTGAACCTGCAAGGGTCTGAATTACTTCAGTATTAGCACTAGCATGGAATAAGGACTATTCATGAGCGTAAGGGTTTGCAAAATTGGGTCTTGCATGAGAACTTGGCTTAAACTGAATTCCAAAAAAACTGGATTAAAATACAGTTTGGCTGGCCTCTGTAGTCAGGACTTCAACAGTATTTTTGCCACAGGCTTGACTTTCTTCTCACACTAGTTTTACACTAACATAACTCAACAGACTATAGTAGACTCCACAGATTATAGACCATTGATTTACTCCTGCTTTAAACTGGTGTAAACAAAAAGATAATTGTGTCTTAGGTTTTCAGTCCTTTTCAAGGGACTATCCACAATGCAAAATTTACTATGTGGGGGAATTCTGTATAAATAGGGTTTGGTCTTGCCAGCATGGACAGCAACAAACCATGTTGTGGAATTGTGGGCGCCACATGGGTGTCTCATGAATAAGGCTGTGTGTCTGTCACGGAAGTCATGGTGCCCCAGAAGTGGCCAGCATGATCCTGCAGCTCCTGCCCTAGGCGTAGGGGCCATGGGGGCTCTGCACGCTGTCCTTGCTAGCAGGCACTGCCCCTGCAGCTCCCCTTGGCTGTGGTTTCTGGTCACTGGGAGCTGGAGCTCGTGGCGGGGCAGCGCACAGAGCTCCCCCTAGGAGTTGCAGGGACATATGGAGCCGGGTAGGGAGCCTGCCAAACCCACCCCCAACACCAGCCGGGGTCCTGAGCTGCGCATCGCCGCCTGGCCCCCCCAGCACCAGTGGGGATCCTGGGCCACCTCCCAGCACCCCCAGAGCTCCTGCGGCCCCCTGGCCCAAGTAGTAGTTAAGGGTATGTAGTACAAGTCATGGACAGGTCACAGGCTGTGAATTTTTGTTTATTGCCTGTGACCTGTCCATGACTTTTACTAAAAATACCTGTGACTAAAACGTAGCCTCACTTATGAAACAGTATAGTGTGATCAGCCCTATTTTAAGGCAATAAATAACAACTCTATGAAAGATATGCATCAAAGCTTATTTTTTAAGGTATGCCACCACCCACCAATGTTTCATTCGTGGTATTGGTAGTTCTGTAAATGTGAATAAGGAACTGTTTTGATTATGCTTCTGTCACAGTTCAGGGCACTTGCACACGTATTCCCCCTCCATGGTCCAGCATAGGCATCCACTTCTAGGCTCCTGCCTCATCCCTTGAGAAGTGGCCTAAATCTCTCTCCCTCTTGACTGGGATTTTTCCAGGCTGCACAGTTTCCTGCTTACACTGTGAGGTCACCAGCAAGTGAGACTGCCTAAGCAGACCAGCTTTATGTTCTTCTCAGAGACTATAAACAATGTAATTGCCCATCGATATAAAGAACCACACAGCTTTTCCTAAGCAAGCACTTTATTCTTAAGGTAAAGCATTACAGAGAAAGCATATAAAAACCTACCTGCATGCTTATAAGCTTAACAGAGATCACCCCAGATCCAACAGAGACTCGGGTAGGAATCAGTCCTTCAAGCATCACATAGGGGTTTTCCTGGGATACGGGTTCATAACACTTGTTGCTCAGAACATTTGTGACTCGGAATCACTCCTTTATACAGTTTGGGCTTCTGCTCTTGTTCTCGCATAACAGATGAGCAGTAGACAAAGGGCCCCTCCTCAAGGCATAACTTCAAAAGGCTGAGTTCTTGCACAACCAGAATGGGTCAATTTGCATACACCTCTTCCTGGGAAACCCACTCAACTAAAAGTTTGTTCTTGTCTAGCACATTGTTTAAAAGATTCCTTTGAATCCATAACACTTCCCAGGGTTTACATTAATCATGTCTCACCCACAGATAATCCCACAATAATCCATAAACATTTTCAATACAAAGAACTCCTAATTTACTTCAGTAAGGTTTGTCCACAATATCACAGGAAACTATCCTGTCACAACTTCTTTCCATGGTCACTGCTTGGGAATGCACACCCTATACTGGAGCATAGGAATTGCCATACCCCATCAGACCTGTGCTATATTTAGTCCAATATCCTGTCCCCAACAGTGATCAGCATAGATTCTATGGCTAGTCGAGTCCTTTGGAACATCTCCAAAATAATTCCTAGAGGAGATCTTTAGAACACTCAATCATTATTTAAAAGTTGTCAGTGATGCAGAATTCACCCAAACCCTTGTAAATTGTTCCAGTGGTTAATTACTCGCACTGTTAAAAGTTTCCAGCAAGTACTTCAGTGGAAGCTGCAAGAAATTGTTACCCTAATTGCTGCCTTAAACATGGAAGCAAGAGGTTTTTATATCTTTTTTTAAAAGCATTAACTATAGATTCTTGCTAGCAGTTCCTTCTCATGGCTTGCAAAGCATTAGGCAACAGATGGGGGAACCCTTAATACATGAAGAGAGACAGTTATCTTCAGCCTGTCCCAAAATAGGATGACCCTGTATCCACAGAGGCCCATGGTAGACACAGACCTTGTAGCGTGTCATGATGATAAACTCTGTTTTTTCATCAGTCTCTTCTTGTTTGAAAATGTATATTGCACGATGTATGTCCTTTGCCTATGATATGAACCAGTATAATGCTAAAAGAACAGGAGTACTTGTGGCACCTTAGAGACTAACAAATTTATTAGAGCATAAGCTTTCGTGGATGCATTCGAAAAAGTGGGCTGTAGTCCACGAAAGCTTATGCTCTAATAAATTTGTTAGTCTCTAAGGTGCCACAAGTACTCCTGTTCTTTTTGCGGATACAGACTAACACGGCTGCTACTCTGAAACCTGTCAGTATAATGCCAGGACCCTGCCTCTGCAGTGCTAAGGTGCACGGCAGGCAAGGGTTTTGCCACACACATCCTCCCGTGGAGCCCTTTAAATGTACAAATTACACGGGCCTGCCCTCAGCAGCCACCGCTCCCGGGGGGGTTGATTTCAGCGCTTCCAGCGGACTGCCCCTTTCTGAGGGAGCGGAGCTAAGCGGTTTAGACGGGGCAGGCAGTCCCCACCGGGGAAGGGGGCGGGCTGGTGAGGCGGGGTTAAGCGGCGCCATCTCAGCGCGCCCAGCGCAGGGGACGGCGGAGGAGATGGTGTCCCATGCGTGGTGCCGGGCGCTATGCGCCGGCCTCTACCCTGGGGCTCCGCGCCGCCTGCAGGGCTGGGGCAGCGCCGCCTTCTCCTTTCGCTCGTCGGTAAGTGCAGCCCGGGGGAGCCAGGAGGAGCAGAGCCGCCGCGTCTGCTTCCCTTGGCGCTGGCTCCGCCCCGGCTGTGTTTGTACTGGCGGCGGGGCGCGCAAACACCGGGGGTGGGGCAGGTCTGCCTGCGCCCCGCCGAGCTGCCTAGGGAGCGCTGCGCCCATGTGGAGTGGGCGCCCCTAGCAGCCCCCACAGGGACTGTTCGGTGGATCCCGTGGGGAAATAGGCCCCATTTTGGGTCCCTGAAAGGCCCATTCGCAGGACTCTAGCCCCTAGGGTAGGGGGTGCATGTGTCCCACAGGGGGCTAGGTCTCATAATGCTTCTTGCCGGCGGGGAATGGGTCTCCCAGTGGCCCTCACCCTCTCCGTGCTGCTGGGCCCTTCTGGTAGGGTCCCTTGAGGGAGCGGACCCTCCCTTTTCTGCCAGTCCAGCAAGAGCTTTATTTCTCAGGGGCTCAACAGCACAGTCCATAAGGTTATGTTTGCTGCCCATGGTAAGGGTCTTTCTCTCAGGGCTTGTTTACATGGGGGAAATTGCTCGGCATAGCTAGAGCAGAATAACTTTTGTGCTGTAGCTGTTTTGCTGTTGGGGACAGTCTGTTCTGGAATGAAGTAGAGGGGTGGCCGTGTTAGTCTGTATCCATAAAAACAATGAGTAGTCCGGTGGCACCTTAAAGACTAACAGATTTATTTGGGCATAAGCTTTCATGGGAAAAAACCCACTTCTTCAGACCATCAAGCCTAAATTGATGGTATTAAATTTCTCTTTTAAGTCTGTTTTTCAAGTTTTTTTGTTTGTTTGTTTGTTAAAGAACGGCTACTTTTAAGAGTAGCAGCCGTGTTAGTCTGTATCCGCAAAAAGAAGAACAGGAGTACTTGTGGCACCTTAGAGACTAACAAATTTGTTAGTCTCTAAGGTGCCACAAGT